AATTTTCATATATATGGCATTTTTCATGTACATGAAAGGCAATTTGTTTTTAAATATGTTAAGGTAAGATATATGTTGATTACATACCCTCATTATTTTTGGTCCAGTTTTGTAGTTTTATGCATGAGAATCGTAAAATGACATACAATCCAATTGCAAACAAGTTTAATACAATTAATTCGCATATTTGTATGACCTTATAGGTTTCGGTATTTCGTGGCCATTTTCAGGGGGTCAAAAGTAAAAGGAACTTGCTTTACAGTTATTGAGATTCCACGAATAATCATAAGTTACACAGTCGTGCACTTTAACAGGTTAAAATTGCTGATGTGTAAATATTGTTATTAAAAAATTTTGTTGGATATTATGTCCTCTGATTTATACGTACGGGTTTTCAGTTATTGCTTTATTAAATGTCTGAATGTTCTGTTGGATACGTGTAGTGCCTGTCTGTGTGTGTTTGTGTGTGTGTGTTTTTGTGCGGTGTGTTTGTATGTTTGCATTTACCCAAAAATTATTAGCTGTTCCTTAAAAATATTTCGAGTGAGAAAGAATTCCGTGAAAAAATTAAATTGGTACACAATGAAATATGGAATATTTGCAGATTGCAATAGTAATACATGGGAAATCATGTCATCTTTTCATTAAATAATATAACAAAGTTAATTTTTTGAAACTAAGTTTCAAGGAATGATTCATGTATTCAATATTATTAAGGGACACCCCCCACGTATAAGATTTGTAATCTGTCATTGCAGAACACTAAGAAAATGATTAAAAACATGTGTAGATACAGTGCGATGAGGAACGCCTCATGATTAAGCACCTTGACGTAGTGACTGGTAATCACTAATCTGCGACCGTTCCTTCTTTACATTCGTTTCAGTTTTATGAATACTGAGCAGATTTTTTATTTTTTTTGGCATTAACCTCTGGGATTGGGAGTTTGGTTTATAGATCGCTTTCAAGTGAATCGGTGATCATGAGTTCTTAGGACATTTGAACGGGATTGGAAGCAAGCATAATGATGAAGTGGAGATGGTAAGCTGAATTGTAGAGAATCTATTAGTGAAGCGAAACCACGCTCTGCTACCACTTTTTGAAGCGAAACCACGCTCTGCTACCACTTTTTGAAGCGTAAGTACCCTACAGAGGGTCCTTCAGGTTGCATATAGGTTCTCGTGATCACAGGACAGGGCGAGCAGGGGAGGACGAATAAATCAGCAAGGCGGAAATACCCAAACAGAAATAACCAAATCAAATATAAACAAAGAATAAATATAATATATTAATAAAGAAAGAATACAAACATAATGTAAATACCTGTATGAGAATTATTGCAGAGTTCGCTGTTCTAAGATAGAATACTATGTAGAGAAATTAATTTAGACGGTCGAGGATGACCTCGACCGGTGGTCCGAAACGAGAACAACCTACCCCATCGACGGTTGGAAAACCGAGAGCCTAGAGCTCCATACGTTAGGCCGCTAAGTCGGCTCGGAAGGGGAAGGAGAGAAGGGGTCAGTAGAGAAAGTAGAGGGGAGAAGTGCGCACACAGACCACGGACAGGAACCGACGTCACATTAGTTGCTATTAAGTCGCCTCAGAACGAGCCACTTTTCACTGTTATACACGAGTATAGTTAAATAGACAACAGAGGAGCACTGTTATAATAATTATTGTCTTTTGATGAAATAATTGCTACATTAAATTTCAATTCAAATAACACTGGCAAATTGAGAAAGAAAAAGAAATTGCGTAAAATATTTTGCTCGCCGTGGTTAATGTGATCTAGAAACTATTAGCTGTTCTTTCAGATCGGATTTATCTACGAGATGTCTAGGACCTGTCTCGAATAATAATTCGTCCTGAACACCCGCCTCTTTGTAAGTCCAACGTCGCCAAGTCGTTTGTTACCATTTCTTTTCGGAATATCTTTGATCACTGCATCTAGAAAAGAAAAGTGTTGACGTGGTAAGGTATAGTTACCCTGTAAGAGACCGTGAAGGCCCATAGGGGTGTGAGAGGTCGAGGCTCCCACATTTTCTAGACAAGAGGCTCACAGATGGCAGTAAATTAGTCAGCCTTACACACCGGCAGCCCTTTACACCCCCAAGAAGATTCCTAGTACTCATTTCTGTTAGAGGCTGAGTCGACCACAGGGCCATAGTGAGGCTGCAAGGATTGGGTTAATTAAAAAAATGTAATGATCTCATCGTGACTCGAACCCTTGACCTTCCGGCTTGTAGCATAGTGTTTCAACCAACTACGCTACCGCGTGATGACGTGGAGCCCAGCTTTATTATTCCCGTCTCGGTCTGGCACGCTTCCTTCTGTGGGCACGATATCCTTCCAAACTAGAGCATTTTATGACCTGCACCCTACTTCGAACAACAACAGATATTTCCCCATTCGGCAAGCTTCTAACATTTATAATTTTGTTCAAAACAAATATAGCATGTTTATTCCAAGCGAGTTAGATCCGACTTGTATTCGAAGAAAGCGAAGGACCCATTCAAAGGGCAGATATTTTTCAGAAAGTCCAGGCTAGAATCTCGGCCCATTGACTGACTGAACGACTGAAGGTTTTCTTGAATTTCCCTCTCACCCCAGATGTGTTCTTTAGCAGCATCTCAATATAAGACGCTATAGATTTCTTCCATACCTTTTTGAATTCATCTTTCATGTTCAGCTTTTCTTTCGACGCTGTGTGACCAACGCAGTTGAACTTCGCTGTAGGCTAGCAAGTATTTCTGTTTAGTATTCGGGGGATTGTCTTCGATTCTTACTTCGAAATTTGGCTAGTCTGGCTAAGAAATTCCGAGGTGTTTCTCAAAGATGTTGAGATAATATTGGGATAATATGTTATTTTGAGTAGGTAACGGTCACTTCTGTAATTGCTTACCTACTTACTTACTTACTTACTCATGGAGCTGAGCCCTTCTGGAGGAGCCGCCAATTCTGCAGCTACTCAAGAATTTCCCAGCATTTTATGGAACCCGAAGGTTCATTACCGTGTTCACAAGAGCCCTCCACTGGTCCCTATCCTGAGCCACATCTATCTAATCCATACCATCCCATCCTATCTCTCTAAGATCCATTCTAATATTGTCCACTCACCTACGCCTTGGTCTTCCCTGTGGCCTCTTTCCTTCTGGCTTTCCCACCAATATCCTATACGCATTCCTCATCTGCCCCATTCGTGCTACATAACCTGCCCACCTCATCCTCCTTGACTTGATCAATCTAATTATACTTGGAGAAGAGTTCAAGTTATGAAGCTCCTCATTATGCAGTTTTACTTCTGTAATTACAGAAACATAAATTGATACAGTGTAAAAAAATGTGAATCAGGAATTCTTTACAGAACTTAACCTATTTATAGAACATTATTTGTGTCATAGGCGTTTATCTAAAAATATATATTCGTGTGTTTCTAGTGTTCTTTTAACAAAGGGAAATTTCCAAGCTTTTAATTAAATTTTGTATTGTATAAGAAACATTTAGAATATCATTATGTCATGGCGCCAATGTAAAGAAAAAACACGTTCACTTTTAAATGAATCCCTTGAAGTGTATTTACCTCATTCACAAAATTCTTTTATTCTAAATTACCCTCAGATTTTGTAAAGGATAATTTATACACCCAGTTTCTTCGATTCAAGGTTTAAACCTGTACATTTCCTTTCTGTCCACGGAACATAATTTTTGATAATCCATTATTTGCAACAAAGTTGACCTCGTGTGCAGCCCTGAAAGACATAGAAGGCAACGAATAGGGTACCAGGGCATAAATACAAGGACCTTGTTTGGTTTTGGACGTAAGGTTGACGACGTACCTCAGTAAAAATTATTGTTGCAGAGTTCAAAAGGAGTGGAATTGAGGTGCAATCTGGCAGAATCTTCTGAGGAATACTTAGGCTGAAAAGAACTCTTTCATTCACGAGGATGAACCTGATTTAAATGTTTGTAGTGTGTCCAGTCCGCAATCCTCGCAACGTATAAGTATAAGATACATTTTAATATTGTCACCTGTTAAGAGTGTGACTATAGATGGGGTTTGGATTGGTGACTTGATTTATTGACCACTTAATTCGTATACGCAACTAGTAACTACAAGTAACTATAACAGCTTAACACAATTAAAAGTTACTGTAAATGTAGCACACATATTCTCCTTTGTTCTCAGTAGCACTTTCCTGGTACTGGATCCTAACAATGTCCTCTGCCTACGCCTTTACCGGCTGACCAATTAACACAACTGACTCATTGCTTCAACTGAGTAAATCCCAGGCTGGCGGCCATTTGACATTAACCTTCTACTTTTCTCTTCACTAATTCCAACTGAAGACTCTTCACTTCTTGCATTTCATTGCACAGCATTTTCTCACTAATTATCCTGGTTATAACATCTCGGCACGGACCGCACAGGAAACACCGTTCCTATGTTGATGTTTAATTATTTCCATGGGAAAATGTTTGTTTGAGAAGCCGTTACACATTAATGGCTGCCGTATATTTGCTTCTCTGGTTGTCGTTGCCCAGCAACTGGTCCATATGCTACAGTATTATGTTCCATCTACACCCATTTCTCTCAAGTGGTCCTTTTCTTTAATGTTTTACAGCGTAATACATTTTGACTGCTTTTCTCATTCTCGCATGCATGCTTCGCCTCGTCTGTACCAAAGGTAATGTAATTATAAACGATACACATAGGAAAATTTATTTTATGAAAAACGAAATTTCCGTCCGCACAGCGATGTTATCCTTGCATTACCGATATGAGATAAGCCCAATGTTTAGTTCTTGGCGGTTGCAAAGAAGATCGAATAGCCAGTGATATAAAATCAATTATCTTACCGTTAAACTGAAGTGGAAAATAAGGAGTCGATTCGATGTTAAAGATTAATCTACAGCCAGATTTCATTGATTCAGATATCAAAAGTGTAATAGTGCATTGTCTCAGTTCCTTAAACTACTTGCCATATCTGTTGACACACTTTCAATGCAGTGAATGCTCAGAGCTAGGCTCTTGTGCGAGTGGCGTGTCTTCTGGGCTACCGCCGAACTCTTATGTACGTTACTGTGAATCTTCAAACTGCAGGATGAAAGAAAATTGGACAGCGATTAATATATAAATGGACTGAGTTTGCTCAAAAAAGTCATACAAGTAGCAAAACTTTTCTAATATAACTGTCTTTATAGAACAGAGTTTTTTTAGAAACAATCAGTTGCTGAACCGCTCAAGGAATTCCAAAATATTTATGGAATTTCAGTTAATCACAGTTTTCACAAGAGCTCGCCTCAAATCCCTTTCCAGAGTCGAATGCAGGCCATACCTCGATTCTGCTTCTCTAAGATTTATTTTAATATTAGCTTCCCATTTAATTTAGATCTTTCTGGTGTTCTCTTTCCATCCCTCAAATTGATTCGAATATATTCTAGGTTAAGGATTTACAAAACTTATATTTACCTATCCTCCCCGTGGCAGTAACATCAGGGGGGTAAGAAATGACTAAAACATACGCAACGTGAGTTTGTGAAATTTGAAGGAGAATGAGAGAGTAGTCACACAAGAGATAAATCTCTTTTTCAACAACTTAAAATATAGCCATTATAACAGAGCAATCTCAGCATCTTTGTTTATTTAACGATTCTTATTGAATTGTTCTGGTTTCAAGGGTTAAGCTTAAGTAAAGGAATTTGAAAGGAATTGTTCTGGTCTGTGTTAATTATCTTAACATTTGACTGCAGTGGGAAAGTTTTGGAAATCTTCGTCCAGCATGGCAGTTAAAGCCTGAGATTTCCCAAATTCAATCCAAGCGTCCTAAACCTTCAAAATATGACGATCCATAACATTTAGAATAAAATAAATTGTGTTATAAATGAACTAATTTTTATCACGTGCACCAAGAGGAGAATCTCAGGTGAAGATTCGCAGAGCCAGTAAAAAAAATGATAGCTGCCATACAATGGGAAAAAGAAGGAATTTACCTTCAGTTGAAAGACTGCTGGATGGATTGTCTTTCGAAGTCTGTATATGGGACAGCAAACAGTGTCACGTCTAGGTCGCCGTTCTGCCCCTCTGCAACAGTGAAATCAGATATCAGTTGATATATTAGCTATAAATTACGTCATCAAAGCGAGATCAAATATCCGATGATCCAGAATTACTTATAATAATATGCGCACATTTAATGAACGTCTATCAGGGTGTAATAGAGTACGGAACAATTACTCCATTGTCATTCGAGCTGATATACATTTGCAATGTGTTTCTTATTGTTTCACTACGTACACTATTCCTGTAACCAACTCGTGTCCTGATGGAAAAGTTAAGGGAAATGTTCTATATGACTTCAATACTCTACAAAATAGAATTTTTCTTGAGGAACTGGTAGTCATTTAGCTGGTCAAACAATTAGTCTCTCTTTATGTAACCCGAAAATTCATAATGATCTTCCCAAAGTCCCAAAAATGAATTCTGTCCTGATTCAGTCGAACACAAAACACACTAAAATTCTGTTTATTTACGACACAAGCTAACAGCNCCCCCCCCCCCCCAAGTTTCTTTCTTATGGTGTAGTAAATCGTAATTTATTTAAATGCAGTGAAAATGTTATTTCGCTTTCAATGAGACGCGAGGGCAATAAAAACGAAAACGAGGTCTTCCATTAACACTAACCAAAATAGAATAATTAAACTGTGCAGAATCTCAAAGAAGGCGGTTGATTCAGCTGTTTCGAATCCATTGCCTCCCGTAAATATCCGAGACACATTACCATTGAATTAAACTGGCTTCGCTTTTGTGTCACATTTCACACATCACAAATTTTCACCCCTTTTTTCAGCCAATTTGGGCAGTCCGTTTTACGTTATCGCATATACGTACTGCTCAAGTGTCTGATTTCTACGTTCCATATGTATAAATTGTAGTCAATGTACTTAAATTTTCTGTGAAAACTGGCATAGTCCAATTTCATGAAAATCTAAAGTTAGGTAACGATCGTTATAGTAATTATAGGACGGTATCTGTCTGTAATCTAACTACATCACCACAGCAAACACTAGAGCCTCTCTGTAAGTGGGTAGTAGCCAGGGTCCCGTCCCCCAGTCCACCCGCTCTCGTGATTAACTTCGGTATCGAGAATGAACGGGGACTTGGCCACTCAGTGCCACTAGGTTCGGACAGATCCAATTTGCTACCCACCGTCCCTACCTCGCTAAAAAGGTGCTTAAAACCATGGTGAAGCCACAGTATTTGTTAAGAGGAGGCAAGATATCTACTTGCAGAGCGAAGATAATAGCTTCATATATCTTACTCAATTGAACACAGAGATTTAGAGAGAGATGAACATATGGGAGGAAAGAAGGAGAGATTAAACATTTCGAATGTTTTACGCTTAATAAAAGAGGAGTATGGATACCAATGTACGACAACTTCAACTCTGCTGGGCAGAAATGGAGAAGAGGAAGTCCTATGGTGTACAGGGTTATAGCTGGAACTGCCACATTATTGTTGACTTCCGTAAAGAAAAAACATCACTAAGAAGGGTTTCAGTAGTGCGGTTGTTCTGGAATCTTTGGCTATTATACGATTATAACTGTTTGAGAGTTATAACAGAAGGTTCACCTTATATTCATGCCAGAGGAAGAAAGAAAAAATAAAGTCATACTGTCACAAAGTCTTTGTCATGCTTTGAGACGTCATGAAGTTTAAGTACTAAGGTTTAAGTAGGAGCCTACAGACGGTGTCTGTAAAATTATCATAGCAATGGAAAGCTTATTAATTTCATCTTGAACTTCTATGATGGATACCGAAAGTTCTCGTATGACAGCTATAATTTCACGAACACAGAACATTTTAAGTGCAGTTACATTCGACATCGTTATGTAGAACTATCTTCAGAAACCCACCACTTGTCCCTGTTCTGAGCTACAGTAACCCAGTCCACATTTTACAAAATATTTCTTTAACGTTCATTTTAATCTTATTCTCTCATTTGATGCCAAAATCGACGGACCTACTGAAAATACCGTTAAATAAACTACACATCTTTATAAATTAAAAATTACTCTCACATTGACCTAGATCTCTTTGTGAACTCTTTCTTAACGGGCCTTCTGATTAAAATCTTGTATGAAATGCTCTGTACTCTGGAATATAATGCCATGCAGTCCGTTGCAAGTCAACCGACATTTCGGAAGAACATGTCGGTTCCATTTTCAGCGCCGAAGAAAAAACCAGACATGAAACTAGCATGAAATGAAAGAAAGCAGAGATCATAAATGGAAGGAACATGTTCCTCTGAAACATCGGTTGGTTTTCAACCGACTACACGCCATACGTGTACTTCCCAGATGATACAAATCTTCATAAATACCACTGCGAGAACCTTAAATCATACAAAATCTCTTATGCATTTCTTACTCCGCAATTTGCTTCATGTCTAGCTCTTCTCATTTTTTCTCGACTTAGTCTCCGAAAATTTATTGGAGATTATATATTATGAAGTTTCACATTATTATGTGTTCTCCTCCCATCTGACACTTCCTCTATATTCAGTAAAATACTCTCAGCACCCTTTCTCAAATGTCTCAGTCTTTGTTCTAATCTTAGTATGAGAAACTAATATTCATATATTTAAATATAACTCAGATGCAAATGTTACGTTCAATTTTATCTGTTTAGTTTATACGTAATTGTGTCACGTAGGGAGGAACCTTCTCGATATTACACAGTTGTAGTCCATGATTTAGTTTTTTAATTTGTCACTAAAGTTGAACTGGAAAACTGTAATGTGCTCAGAACAAGAAACAAAACTGATTAGAGTACTAAATGTTTGGTTCACTTACCAAATGCAAATGCTATGTTTGAGATGAAATTGCTACTTTTTTGCAGAGTGACTTATACTGGATCGAAAAGGCACTACCTTGGTTATCAATTGATAGAGTCAAGATCGGTATGGGTATCTCTTGAAGACTCCTAGTTAAATTTTCACAATAGAGTTTTCGCCATAAACTAAGAATGACAAGATATGTTTAATGAAAGTAATGGCTTCAGACGCAATCTTCAACTCAACGGTCCATTTATTTGTTTTACGTTTCATAATTTCTTTCTTAATTTATTTCCCTCTTTCTTGCATTTTCCTTCCATTATTTCCAGGGGATATAAACCTTAGAAGTTGAACCGGAAGAAGAAGTAGATACAGACGAGAAAGGACCATATATTTTACAAAGTGAGGTGGAGAAAGCTATCAAGGAAATGAGGAAGGGAAAGGCTACAGGAGATGATGATGTACCTGGAGATGTGCTCAAGTTACTGGGAGAAGGTGGTTTGAAAACACTGACAAAACTAATGAACACCATATATGAAAGTGGAGAGTGGCCCAAGGACTTTACAGAAGTTACAATGATTGCCTTAAAGAAAAAGACAAAAGCTACAAAATGCAGCGACCATCGCACAATAAG